CGGGGAGCGGGGGGGCATTCATCTAGGACTGGGGGGGGGCTTTAAGTTAGGCTTCCGCCGCCCTTGTCTCCTGAGCTCTGGGTGTCCTGCATCCTGCCGTCCAGCTTTCATCTCACTTTTATATTTTGTTACTGATTTCAGAGAGGGAGAGGGAGAGGAAGAGAGAGGATCACGCATCGGCCGCCTCCTGCACGCCACCCCCCCCTTGGAGCCCACAAACCGCGCACGTGCCCTCACTGGGAACTGGACCCTGACCTGGTCCGTGGTCCCCGCTCAGCCACGGAGCCCCCCACCTCCCTCCTTACCGTCCTGGTGGGGGTGTAGCGTGGGGTTTGCCCGTGGTCACTTCCGGAAGATGCCATCCTGCCGCTCTTCCTGCTGCTGCCGCTCCCAATAGAGGAGCTGCCCGGCTGGTGTGGCTCAGTGGTTGAGCGCGCACCATCATCACTGATGTTTCCCTCCCTCTCCCTTCCTCTCCGAAATCAGGAAAATAAATAGCTGTTGAGATTTTTTTTTTTTAATAATAATACTTGACAGAGGGGACGTCAGAATAATCTATTCGGTATATGGATGGTCGTAAAGTTGTCATTTTACACAAGATAGTCGTCATTTACACGTTACTTGTGTTAGATTGTTTTGTTTTAAGTCATGTTTTTAGTCACCGTTAGCATTAACTCCATTTTTCTCATAGCCTTTTCCTTTTCCTTTTTTTTATTACCTGGCTAAAAACAGCTTTATCTTTTGTTTGAAAGGGAGGGTTAGCTTTCAGGATTTGCTGTCAGTGATTCCTATAAAAAGATCTGGAGGATCTGATGCTGGATCGGGGTCACTGAAAGCGGTTTATTTCTGATTTCAGGGAGACCGACACTACCCTCTGAAGTTGGGATAATAATTTGTGACATCACTACTCCAGCCTCACTCGATGAAATGGCCAAACAGGCCGCCATTGTCCTCAACTGTGTAGGACCAGTGAGTACTCAGCCCTCCTTTGTATTCGAACAGAGAACCTATTCACTTAGAGCAGCATCTGTCCCAGCAGCATCTGCTGCTATTTCATATTCCAGAGGAGCCCGAGGGCGGGGCCTTCACCCTTTATGGGGAGTTTTCACTTTTGGTGATCAGTAGACAGATAGGACCAAAATCTCCTGAGACTGGCCAGACCTCTGACTCAGGGAGCTGTGTGCTGGGTTGTTTTGTTTGTTGATTGTTTACAGCTATCATTGGCAATCTTTTTTCCCCCCCTTTACTGTATGCTCCTTAAGTAAAAAATGTTGGAGCATGTTCTCCTACTATACTTTTTATTTATTATAAATTATTTTTCTGCATTACTATACAAATATTAGTTAAAAACATGTATAAAAATAGAGATTGAAAAAACTCATTCATTTGTTCAGGATTTATTGAATGCTTTTTATACAGGGGTGGGCAAAAGTAGGTTTACGGTAATTAATAAAGTAGGTTTACAAATTAACAATGCAAGAATAAACCCTGTGTTTAATGTACTCACAACTATAAACCTACTATTGCCTGCCCCTGAATGTAAATGCATTAGTCTAGGTACCTGCAGCATAATGGTGAACAAAACAGAATCTCTCATAGAACTTAAAATCCAGTGGAAGAGACAGAAAAATAAGGTTATCATAGTAGGTAGTGATAAATGCTTTGAAGAAAAATAAAGCTGAATAAGGAGATGAAGAGATGGGCAATCAGTGTCTATTGGACGGTCAGGGAAGATCTCTGAGTAATTGGCATTTGCCCGGAGACCTGAGAGGTGAGGAAGTAAGCCATGTGAGGGTTTGAGGGGAGGTGTTCCGAGCAGGCCAAGCACAGGGTGGGAGTGTTAGGGGTGGCCGAGTTTAGAGTATATTTTAGAGTAGAGCCACCAGCTTTTGCTCTTGTACTAACTGGGTGTGAAAGAAGCACTTGGCTTGTGGAATGGTGTGTGTTGGGGACCCTGACTGATCTGAGGAAGCCATCACAATTAGCAGAACCCTGGAGCACCACGCATCTAGAAAATCATTGATAACTTAAAAAATGAAAGCAGGAAGGTTTGTCATCACATAAAAATGTAATTAAGACGGTGCTCATAGAAATCAAGACAGTAACATTTTGATAGGTCTATGAGAGGTTTATGCAAATGTGAGGCAGTATTATTATCACACACAGTGATGTAATGTTTTGGTGAGCTTTTAGGGTTATAAGTATGCAGGATGCTCTATGTAACATGTTCTGGAGTAAAACTATTCTACTCAGCTTATCTTTATTTTTTTTTACAAGCTCTCTGTACTGTTTCAGAAGTTAGAAAACAAGTCATAATTCCTAGTTGATAAAAATATATTTAAAACAAGCAGGAAAAAAATAGTTTGGGCCTTGAGGATAACTTTCATCATTCTTTTAACCAAGTAGAGTTAAAATTATACAGATCATGATTTCAAGTATCAACTTATAAAATGTGATAAATCAGAAAGCAAACAAGAGGACTCTTTTATTTTTTCAGAAAAATATATTTGCATTCAAATGTTCATATAAACATAAATTTTAAAAAGTTAAAATAATGTATTTAAGTTGTTTATTTAGATTTATCTCATTCTTAACTATCTTAGGTTCTCTGGTCCTTTGCTTGAATTACTCTTATATACACCTCCAGCCAGCGCCTTTGCCCTTTCCTCCCCAGTACTCTGGAAAAAACCCGGTCCTGGTTATTCCGGATCTCTCCTTACTCTACCTGAGTGACCCAGCGTGGCTGGGAAAAGATGCCAACTGGTCCCACTTGAAATGCGTGACCTAAACCTCAGCACCTCCAGCGATTCTGCTCCATTCCTAGGCTGTTATTCTTTCTCCTACTCTTTGAAGCAGCAGTTTTTTGTTTTGTTCTGTTTTTTGTTAATCCACATCTAAGGGTATTTTTCCATTGATTCTTAGAGAGAGTGGAAGGAAGTGGGAGGGACAGAGAGAGAAACATCGATGTGAGAGAGACACATCGATTGGTTGCCTCCCGCATGCTGGGGATTGAGCCTGCGCCTGAAGTACATGCCCTCTACTAGAATCTAACCCGGGACCCTTCAGTCTGAGGGCCTGATGCTCTATCCATTGAGACAAATCGGCTAGGACCGAAGCAGCAGTTGTATAACTTTTTCCTCACACTTTTAGCATCCTGTCCCTTTTCCTCACTGTTTTCTGGTGATTTTAAAAACTATTTTATTGAATTTATTGGGGTGACATTGCTTAATAAAATCATGTGTTTTAAGTGTACAATTCTATAATACATCATCTGTGTATTTCACTGTGTTCACCACTCAAAGTCAAGTCTCCTTCTGTCAACATTTATTCCCCACTTTACCCTCTTCTGCCTCCTCTACCCTCCCTTTCCCGATGGTAATCACCATATTGTTGTCTGTGTCTATGAGTTTGGAGGTTTGTTGTTGATTTTTACTATGAAAATGGAAGCTGTCAGAACAGATGAAGTTCAGTGTTGATAGCATGGCAATCGGGGTCCTTCCTGATGTGGCCCAAGTGTTTATAGACTCATCATTTACTTTTCCCCTCGACTACCTGTGATTCAGGCATCCTGGAACAGCCCCCTTTCTTTATACCTTTGCATATCTTTAAGGCTACTTAATTAGTATTTGATTTATTTTTTCTTTTTTTAATATATTTTATTGATTTTTTACAGAGAGGAAGGGAGAGGGATAGAGAGTTAGAAACATCGATGAGAGAAACATCGATCAGCTGCCTCCTGCACACTCCCATGCCCGCAACCAAGGTACATGCATGCCCTTGACTGGAATAGAACCTGGGACCCTTGAGTCCGCAGGCCGACGCTCTATCCACTGAGCCAAACCAGTCAGGGCTATTTGATTTCTTAATAACCAAGACTGTACTTCCAAACAGAATGGTATTTCATTCACTTAAGTTTCCTAAGTAAGTGTAAATTGTTGGTTTTCTCTATTCCCCCAGTACCGATTTTATGGAGAACCTGTAGTAAAAGCATGTATTGAAAATGGAACTAGCTGCATTGACATCTCTGGAGAACCTCAGGTATGTAAACTGAAGAAAAAAAACCACCAGAATTAATAGCCTAATTTTCTGTTTAAGTGGGAGCTATCTAATGCCATTTGGCAGACATTCTAGAAGGTGGTGACTCCTCCTTGGTGTTGAGAGATGGTGCTCCATTGCAGCTTCCAGAAGGGCATGGTGGTGAGGTTTAGCTTCAGTTTGCTGGGACTTTTTCCTGCCCTATGATCTGAATTAATTAAAATAGCTCTGAGTAATTCTTGGAATCTTATTTGGTATCTTTCATTATAAATTCCCTTTTTAAACTCAGACACCTTTACAACATTACAGAAAAATAAATGTAAAATCCCCTCAACCTAAAAAGTTTAAATCATATTCATTGAATGCTTGCCACTTGCCCGACAATGTGCTAAATAAACATCACATGTAACTTTTTACCATTCTTAGAAAATAAGTATCATCTTTTACCCTGTTTTAAAAATGAGAAAATTAAACCTTAGGAAGGTTAAGTAACTTGTTCAGAGTCATGCAACTAGTAAGTAGAAAAACTAGGATTTGAATTGAGGTTTGCCTGACTGCAGGAAGTGATGTGTTCATAGTAATAAGCTACTTTAAAACTGTAACTCCTTTAAATTGTAACCTCTAGTCTACTGATTACTACCATCAGTGTACCAATATAGTACCTACTTAGAGTTTATTAATTGTTAATGTATATTGGAAAATACCAGGAAAGTATAAATTACCAACGTTTATTCATGAAGAGGTAGGAAACACAAATGAAACAAAAGCAATCCAGACATATAAAGAACTCTAAGTCATAATACAAATTCAAATAATCTAATTAAAATGGGCAAAAGGATGAGAAGAGACAAATTTGTGCAGAAGAATTCCAAATAGCATGGCTCAGTGGTTGTACATCGATATGATCTAGGAGGTCATGGTTCCGGGCACATGCCCAGGTTGTGGGCTTGATCCCCAGTAGGGGATATGCAGGAGGCAGCTGATAGATGATTCTCATCATTGATGTTCCTCCCTCCCTCCCTCTCCCTTCCTCTCTCTCTGCAATCAATAAAAACATATATTTTTTAAAATTCCAAATACTTTATGTAGCTACCCTGCCCTCAGGGGAATTATGGGGGCATAATTCCTCCGCTCCTAAGTGGCCTTGCAGTCACTTCC